GTCTAATTCAGTGCTACGATACCAACACAGAGAAATGCCACGTGAAGCCATACGTGCTGCCTTTTGCGGGGCGCATGCACGCTGCTGTGCACAAGGACGTGGTGTTCATTGTCGCTGAGGGGGATTCACTGCTATGCTATAATCCCCTACTGGATAGCTTCACCCGGCTATGCCTCCCAGATGCCTGGAGTTCAGTACCATCCCTTTGGAAAATTGCCAGCTGCAACGGCAGCATATATGTCTTTCGTGACCGCTATAAAAAGGGTGATGCAAATACTTTTAAACTTAACCCAGCCACCTCTGTTGTAACAGTCACGAGTGGCATCAAAGTGCTGCTCACTAACCTGCAGTTTGTCCTGGCTTAAGCAGGAAAAACAGGACTAGTGATAGAAAGGGCAGCAACAGTATCCTGCTGTGCAGCTCGGAGACACCTACCACCCTGAGCACCAGTCCCAATTACCGCAAGCTCACAACATCCAGTAAAGACCCCATTCTCTTTACCTGTGCAGAGGAAGTACAGGCTTTCTGATTGTGGGCCTATTCTTTTACATAGCACTATTGAACTTTATTGAACTCTTGTATCTTAGAATTAAGATGGACTAAATGCCATTACTTTGATTCCTTGATGATAAGCTGCTTGTGTTTGAGGCACAAACTGCAGCAAATGGCTATTTTAGCCTGGAACCAATCTACCAATAACAAATCCTGGGGCATATGGACAACATCTTCCTTGGCCCAGGCTGCTAGTGTTAACTGCCTAGGAGACCATGTGTTGATTGCCATGTCAATCACAGAGTTAGATGTGCACTGTATCCCCCAGGGATATCCCCATTTAAACATTCCTATGTCCTATTGCAGAAGGAGGGCATGGCAGACAGATTCCAGAGCTGACCCTAGGACCTTAAGTAGGTTGCATTCAGCACTTCTAGAGGAGTGGTAACTAAATGGGTACTTGCTTACTGCTCTGTCATCACCTAGCATAAAGAAGGAGATCACTTTTAGACATTGGCTTCCTTTACTGTACAGGGAATCCTCACCTGTAATTATAACATAGTGTTGGTGAAAGACAGAATTAAGACCACTTCCTCCTACCCTTCTCTGTTGGCACTGTAACCCTTTGGGTAAGAATCTGAATAAAGTCTCTGTTGAGACAAAGGTGTTTTTATTTTCCTTTGCTTCAAATACAAATATTTTTAACTTCCTGTGGGTTTGCAGTTCAGCTGAGCACTGATATCTGGAAAAGAACTATGAGGCTCCAAGAGAACTAAGATATTAGCTACAAGAAAAGAAAGCAACAGCCCAATTTCCCCTTTACTGCAGTTTATATAAAAACTTTTTTATTGTTGGTCAAGAAGAACAACACTTAAGCCTTGATTAGATCATAAAAACATTTTTTTTTAAGCAGCTGAGATGGGGATTTTTTGATAGTTCTTACTGACATTATGCAGCTGTCCCAGTGATTATGTTCCTGTGAAATTTCTCCAGGACCTGGACTTGCTTGTGTCGAATGAGGATGTGGGGACGAATCTTGGCAATGGCCTGAATTGCTTCCTGAGGGCTCCAGCGATGCAGCTGAAAAGGCAGAAACCCAGCAAGTGAAAATCCATTCCAACCCTGCACCATTTCATGGAACCTTCCCACAGGCTACAGGCAACATTAGAGGTGTTAGAAAACTCACTGCTTTGCCCCTTCTGTTTACTTCATAGTCCTCTCAGCGAAGCCTGAATGTCATGCAATCATTCATGAAATGAGTCCCTCGGTTAAAGAGGGATAGTTGCTCCCTGGGCCCTCCACTTTCTGTCTTGCTTACTCTTCCTTCATGTTGTGAACAGTTTCCTGTCCTAAGTCCCACCAGACCAGAGCAAAAGCGCAGCTTGCATTTTTAAATTTTTAAAAAACTTTACTGCTACTAATGTTGCATTTCAGCACTTAGTGAGAAAATCTTCCCTTCAGCACTAATGGGAAATTTTCCAGGGAGCACTTAATAACACCAACAGAAGAATCCACAGGTAGAATTTTGTTCTTAGGGCTGGCTTACCCAGTTGGGTCAATAGAGGAACTCAGAAAACCAAAGTCGGTTCTCTTGATCATGAATTGTATTTATTGAAAAGCATAGGAAGGCTCACCATTTCAGTGAACCAAGGAGAAAATCTGAAGAAAAATGGGTGTTTCTCTGCTCAGTGAACCTACCCTCATGAATGACTTGTTATTCCCACCTCAATCTGTTCCTCCATAGAAAGAATTAAGAGCAGCAGAATCATTCAAAACTTTCATTTCCATGCAAAACAGCAAGGTAAGTTTGAGGCCTCTCTTAAAATGGGTGTACAAACTCTGTAAAATCATGGAACATTGATGAACCTGTACATGCTCAGGTTTCTTGAGCAAGAGCAAACTATAAAGGCTGTCTGCTTTTGCCTAGGCTGTATGAAAGTAACCCCCATTTAGCATAGACTCCTTACTTGAATTAAATATGCTGCTACCATGGTGGCACTGCGGGAGCGTCCTGCCTTGCAGTGCACATAGACAGTGTTACCGCAGGCTCGGTGTTTCAGGATGAAGTCAACGCCCTTGTGGAGGTTTTCTAAGGTGGGGACTCCAGTTAGATCCACAGTGCTGAGACAGAGTTGCTCAACTCCCATTGCCTCCCATTCCTGAAATGGACATAGCAGATTTGGTCAGTTAACTTTCTATTTGGTGGGGGTTTTTTCCTGAAAGAAACCCGAAACCTGTTCAGGCAGTTGAGAAACTCAGTGGGACTATAAACAGACTGTGAATGTCAATCTTTTAAATCAGATGTATGAAAAGTTTAGTGCTGACCATCAGAAAGGAGTAGTTAAAGGAAACTAAAAAGATGTGGTTCAGGGGAGCTGGGATCTCTTCCCAAAACAAAAGGCATTCCTGTATAGTGTTGTACATGGATTCAATGCTCCCCATTCCTCCCCACCACTGCAGCTCTAACAGTTCACCGGCATCCTCACATTATACTGGTTTGTAAGTAAAGTAAGTTTTCAAGGTGCGAGAAGTCACGTCTTCGCTGTCACAGGACTTGGCGGTCGCTGCCGGCATCGCGGCAGGAGGCGGATAAAGCCTCGCTGCGCCGGGACCGACGGAGCGTCAAGAAACCTGTCCGGGGGTCATAGGCAATGCCCGGGCTCACCTGCGGGGAACAGCAGAAGAAGCGGGTCTCGTAGTTCTCGGTGAGAGTGACCACGGCGCGCACGTTCTCCTCCGCCACCATCTGCGGGCACAGCCGTGGTCAGGCACCGCCGCCCACGCGGCCCGGCCCGGCCCGGCCGCCCGCCCGCCTTACCCTGCGGCTGCGCCCCCGCAGCGGCAGCGCCCCGAGCAGCACGGCCTCGTCGATGCGGTGGAACCAGGGCCGGCGGGACCCGGGCAGCCGCGCCCGCGCCGCCGTGTACAGCAGCGAGGGGTAGAAGAGCAGCCGCGCCGCGCCGGCGCCCAGCGCCTCCGCCACCCCCATGGGCGCCGCGCCGGGCCGGGCCGGGCCGTGCCGAGGGCCGAGCGAGCGCCGCGGCCGCGCGCACCGAGCGCGCGCACAGGGGGCGCCCGCGGCGGGGCCGGGCGGGCGGGGCCCGGCGGGACCGGGCGGGGCGCGGGGGCGGTGCGGGGGGCGGGAGCGGGAGCACCGCCCAGGCCCCCACCCCGCGCTCGCCGTGGTCTCTCCCGGAAGCGCCGCCATCTTGCGGAGCCGGCCCGAGGCGGCGCAGGGAGCGGAGCGGGCGCGGGCGGATCCCGGGCAGGTGAGGGCGGCGCCGCCGGGAGGAGCTCGGGCCGGGCCGGGCACGGCGGGGCCAAGCCGAGCCGGCGGGAAGCGCGGTTCGCCTCGCGCAGGTAACGGCTCCTTTCCCCTTCGCCCCCGGTTCCCCGGGGCTCCCGCCGCGAGGCCGCTCGTGCCGGGCCGCGGCGGCCGCCCCGCTCCCCGGGAGACTGCCGCCACCGCCCTGCCTGCGCCATCCCGGGGCGGTGCCGCCCCGCCGGGACCCCCGCCGGGCCCGGGGCCAGAGGCTGCCGGGTGTGATCTGGGCGCTGACAGCGCCGCGGGCGGCGGCGGGGGCGCTGCGGGGGCGAGCGCGGCCCGCGGCGGCGGCGCCATTGGGGCCGAAGGGGGCTGCGGCGGGGCCGGGCGGACCCCGGGGCGAGGGAGCGGCTCCCCTGGCTCGGCCGCCGCCGGCCTGCGGGGCTGGGCTCTTATCGTAGGAACCGGGGCGCGGTTCCTTGCTGTCCTGGGCACGGTGGGATCTGTCCTGCGGAGCAGAGGAACGTGTGCTCGTGCACCAGGGGGTGGAGGTCAGTCTGGTGTAGGAGAAATTTGCAGGGAAATTGGAGTTCGGCACAGTGTGAGGAATTGCAGTCTCAGGCGTGAGAAGGCGTGACAGATACTGCTGGAATGAAGTAGGAAGATGAATATAAAAACAGGAGAGACGAGGCATAAAATAGGTGATGGATGAAGAAGTAATAAAGGTTGATAACGGCATGCGATTTTTATAGGACTGTTTATGAGTAGGAAGTTGAGAGGCAGCATTCTAATAAAGTGTGGAACCTTCACTCCTTTAAATTCCTGAGGAGTTGTGGCCATTTTCACCTTTAAGACGCAGGCATTCTCTTTTGCCAGAAGTTGTCGGGGAACATTTTTCGAATGTTGCAGCTTTCTTGTATATACTGCTTGAGTGTGGTCGTTGGGTGTGTTTCACTAGGAGTTCGCTTGATTTAAGAAAGTATTTGTCGGAGATTTATATCTTGAAGTATGCTTTGCTTCTCGCTCACAAGAGCTTGAAGTTTCTGAGTATCTTTAATTTCTGTTTTTATTTTTTGTGTAAGTATGTCCTACTAGTTCTACTCTTCATACCAGTGATCACAAAGAAGTTGCTAAATTATCTCCTGTTCTCTTTTGCTGTCTTCTCTGTTGTTTTTCTACAGGTTAGTTCAACAGATAGATTTTACTGCACTGACTTGGCTTTGCATAGCCATAAAAACCTGTCACATTTTCTTCTTTTTTTTCCATTCCCCTCAGCTCTGTTCTTGGGATCTCTGCATAATATATCTTCCTCGAGTTGTGTCTGGACCCAAGTATTTAAGAAGCAGCGTTGTTGGAAATACTGGTGCTGCACTAGGTGTTTAAAATTAATAAATACATCTTTAGACTGAGATAGGAAATGTTCCGATGGGTAGAGATTGCATTCCTGCCGATGAAGAGCCTCCCAGGGCAGCAGCACATTCTTATATCTGCCCAGGGACATGGATGCAGATATATACCACCAGGAAAATTCCTAAATAGGGATTTTAAAATACAGTAATGTAAAGAACTATTTTTTCTTAAGGTGCTTACTGTTCTCTTTCAGCCTGTGCTCACATTCAGAGTTATTGGTGATACTTATTCTGGGAAAGTGTTGTGCTGTTTTGTGGAGTGTGTTCACCCTTTCTGAATGATCATTCTTGGATGGCTGTGGTTTTCGTTTTCCTGTCAAAGTCTCTAATGTTACATTAGGGAATAATCAGTCCCAGGTCCTACCTGCTTAGTTACATTTGGCCTATTGTATCTACTTTTTTTTTTTTTTCTGAGTATTTGAAGCAAAATAGTTGATGCAGTCCTAGGAAGTTCTGTTTACATGCAGCAGAAAGTAGGAACACAGCATCTGTAGAAAAGTAGAGAACTGAAAAGTGATTGTTGTAAAATCATGAACATTAAAATGTGAAGATTTATGTGTTAGGTAGTTTTGTTTTGGAAGTAAATGGCTTACAATAGTGAGAGAAACTTATCCATCTTTCACAATGGAAGACAGGTAAAGAACTCCATAGTATTACTGAGTATTTAGTACTGTATTCACACTTTTGCTTGTCCTTCACAATTTGATGCACTTGTAAGGTGATCTTTACGTGGTAAGAGGAAGGTGTCTTTGACTTTTATTTCTTCTGCTATGAGTGGGGATTCTGAAAACATGCTGCCTGGCACTATTCCTCTAAATGGAAAGCAAGAAAGGTGGCACTATCATAGATATATAATAGTTGCTTTCTCATTAATATATAATAAATCCATAACTTGCAAGTAACCTTTACATCAATTGAAGAATCATTAGTTGAAACAAAGTATGGTGCTTTGTCATAAGAGAAGTATGAATATAAGAGAAATACTTGAAATATTGTGGAAATTTTCTTCTGAAATTATTACTGACAATATGCTGAATTAGTTGAATATCATAAAAGCTATACGTTTATGTGGCGCTTAAATATTTAGATTCACATGGAGTTAAGTAAAATTCTACCTGTAATCTAGAGCCTAATTGAACTTAGTAAGAAACTCTGTTATGAGCAGGTTGCTCCTTAACTATTTCTTGCTTATTTTTCTGAGATGTGGTTATGGACTACTAGTTACTGAGATGTCTACCACAAGTCTGTTCAGAGTGCCCACTCTTAATTTTTTCTTTAGTGCCTTTTTTTTTTTTAGAGTAGATGGGAAGTGATACAAATTCTCATCGTTTTTGAGATTTCCTGGTTATTAGTCTCTAACTCTGGGATCTAAGAATCCATGGGTCAGGCTGTTGAACTGGAGACTGTTGTTCAGCAATATGTCCACAAGGCAGTCCAGTTTTCCAAATCATAATGTGAGTTTGGTTACGGAAACAGCAGCAATAGTCCAACAGACTCAGATCTGTATTTCTGCACTCTTACTTTTTAGTCTTGCCATGAATATCTTAAATGTTTTGTTTCAACGTGGGCGTGTTCAGTATTGCTTCTTGTCCTTCAGGAAGCAGTTATTCGCTGCCTTGGTAACTGCCTTCTGACAAGAAAGTATCGTTTTTATCCATTGATCAGGTATTTGGCAGGAGAGAAAAACCAGTATAAATCAAAGCAGACTAAAATACTTCAGAGTTTATTAGAATGGAAGTTGTAATTTGAGGAGAGTTATCTAGGGCCTCTAATGGGTTTTTCTCGTGAAGTATCACAGCACAGAATCTTGAGTTGTGATCCTGTTACAAGACTTCTTGAGGCAAGAAAGATTATCTTGACTGAAAAAAGTAACTTCTAGTTTTATTGCCCTTCCTCCAGTCATTAGAGACACTTGTGTTATATGAAAAAAAATGCAAGATACCATTTTTCTGCTATTTTAGAAAGGTGCCAAGATGCTTTGGGACATAACAGTGAAAAGAGAGAGCTTCAGCGTTCACATTTTCAAGAGGAGATTTCCCAAACATCAACTGAACCTCATTATTTGCACCTGGTGCAAGATTCAAGCATGCAAAGCTAAAATATACATTAGGTCAAAGCAGGAAATTTAGATAGAGCAAGGGAGAAAATGTAAACTGCTGTAAAGCTGCAGTGCCAATTAGTCTGCAAATGCTTTGCTGTAGGGAGGAATAGCTCACAAGTCTGAACTACGATAGACAGAGCAGGCTTATTTGTTCGACAGCAATATAGTGCAGCAGTTGTCATCCCAGGGAAAGGAAGTCTTTTCTCTGACATCTTGAGTAGCTTAAAATTTCCAGCTATCTCAACTCTGTGCATTTTGAAAGAAAAGGCATTGTTGCTAACTGAATTCAGTATAAACAGTGAGCAACTAGATGGATGAACAGAAGTCTTCAGTAGTGTTCAAATTTTATTGAGGAATTTCAGTTGAAATGATGCACTTTGTCACAGGAAAACCTTCTGCCAGAAGTGAAATCCTTGTGCACAAGTTGTCTTGTCTGTCCCATGTATGCATATCACCCTTTCGTATTCAGTATACTTAGTATATTATGATCTGATTTTTGTTTTGATTTTAGTAAAGATATGCTGGCTGACTGGCTGCTCTGTTAGAAGGCAGAGTATGAGTGGCAAACTGATAAACTGAGTTTTGATAATGAGTCTGTACTGATGTAGAGTGAATTTATAACCGATTTAATGGTTTGGCTTGCAGTGTTAAAGTTCCAGGTAAATTTAAGGTTGTATAAACTGGGCTTAAAATTGTATCTCTCTGGAATTTTAACATTGGTTTGACTAAATTACTTGTAAATATAACTTGGAATAACTGGCCTGAGTATTGCTGAATTCCATGAAAATAAGCAGGTACTTTGAGTTCTTTGTCCTTTTTAGCGGCACACCTCAAGGAGATCTTGAATGAGCATGTGGATGAGAGGATGAGTGTTTGTTGAGTATCTAGTGTCATGCTGGTATGGTATCTGGCAGGCTTTCCTTTGCAGGCAGTTTTAATACTTTCACACTGTGTATTCTCTCCAGGCTGAATGCTCTCCCAATTCATTTAATAACTCAGGTGGATGTCTTACGTTGTTTTTACTTTAAATTAATGTGAGTTTTTCAGGACCTTAGCTTCTTTTTTTCACCACCATCAAAACTGTTCTTTCTGGTAGTTTTCACTTCTATCTGTGGGCTGTTTCATATTGCACCTTTCACAAAAATAATGCGGTTGTTATCCACTAGACCTCAGCATCTAACATGTTGAAGTGAAACTGTTGTTCTGTAAACATCTTATCATTTAGATTTCAGGCTTTGACTGAACCCATGAATATTCTATTTTTGCCTCAAACTATGCAGTTCAAAAGATATTCCAACAAATGCATGCTGTCCACAAATCTTTTAGACTGTTGGAAAGGGAATATTCATGTCTGTTTTTTTCCAAAGCAGTGGAGTTGGTTATTTATGAAGCTTGTAATTCAGATGAAGTATTTAGCAGGCAGTGTCCAAGTCTACACACAGAAATGATGGCATCTTTCTTACTACGTGTTGAGATTTGCATGATGGACACCACGCATCTTATTATCTGCAAAATCTTACAAGATAAAGCCTTGATAAATGATTCTTCAGAAGGCAATGAAATATTGGTCTTTCAGGAAGAGAGGATGTATTTTGAATGTCACATCTAGCTTTTGAATTTCATGTGGGCACAACAGAGTGTAAAAGTAATTCTTCACTTATTTATAGTTTCATATTCCTAAGCAGAGCACCATCTTAAAATCTTTTTGCCAACTTACCTATGCTTCCTTGTTATCTGCCTTGAAAAAATTCCTGTTCTCTGTTTAAACTCCTAAATTAAAAAACATACATCAGGGTGACAGGTCAATGTAGTGAAGTATTGTATGTCTTTGTTTTTTCCGTGTCTTGCCTGTCATTGTTTTATGACTGTACAATGTGTCGCGTTATTTATGAGTGAAACAGTAAAGATTCCTTGCACAGTCCTAAGTGACATTAGAAGTGATACCATTAAAAATTATCAATATGCAAAATCTTTGGGAGGAAAAAAAGGGTTGTATATATACTTCTGTAAAGCAGTTTTGACTGCTCAGAAATCCATGGTTATATGCTTTGGTGACTTAAGAAAAGTTAAGTGAGGATATTCTGATATTTATGGAATAAAGCCACCCATGTTACATTTTGAATTGTGCATTCATGACCAGAATTTGATCACTAGCAGAGAATGGCTGTAGGTGGTACTGTCTGTATTTAGCAGTGTGGAAGCTGCTTTGACACTAATTCTCTGATGTAGAAATTTGCTTTACAGTTTCTTTGGGTTTAAAAGTATTTTGTCATTTAATTCAAGGCTGAATTTAATAGGCATTTCATGGGGAGCATTTTTGTGAAGAAAATAATTTAGGCTATGCTTAGGTGTAGAGCTAATTCAGACTATTCTGGTGTCTTTCTGAATTTGCAGGGAGCCTAAACCATTATCTCAGTGATGAGAAATCTGAAAAAATAATGAGATTGTTGGTTTAAATACCAGCACTTTTATAACTACTTGCAAGTTACATTAACAAAAATGCCTGACTAGTGTACTTCTCTGAGTTCTCAATAGGCTACTACATTCCTGATATAGCTGAAAGTTGTAGCTTCCAGTTATTTATATGAGAGAACTTTTCTGGTAACTTCTGTAAGGTAGTTTTGTATGCCCACAAAAGTGTGGGATACATCAAGTAGAAGAAATAGGCAACAGCACAGGGTAATAAATCTCTCATGAAAAAGTTTAGTTTTTTATATAAATGAAACTGCTTTTGAGATTGCAGACTGTCATACTTCTATATGAAGTCATAAAAATAAAAAGTCATAGACTGTGCCACTTGTTTTATTTTTCTTTGAATTCCTACGGATTTGGGTTTTCAGTTACACTTTTTTTGCTCTTTCCATGCCAGAACATGAAAAGGGGTGGGGCAGGTGGAGAGAGTAGTGGATGCTGCATAGAAGTGTATTTTTTTTCGTTTTTAAGAAGAATACATAGAAAAAGTTTTAGTTTGTGTTTAAACACTGGCAAAAAGGACTACTGGGAAAGCAGACATGATATGGCAGGTCACCATAGTAATTAGTATCAACCAATAAGAAAGGTCATGGTTCCTGGTTTAGGACAATACTTAAGAAGGGAGAAGAGTTTAAAAAGATGGCTATAATTCAGTTTGGGCTGTGGGGGGAGAAGGTCAAACCAAGAACTTAATATGTGGATGCGTGTCCAAAAGCAACTAGGAAGACCTTGCCAGTTCAGTAGCTCTTGAAATGCTGGTGGATGTGGGCATTCCCTGGAACAGAGATTTTAGGTTTCTGAGTTGCTGCCGAGATTCTGTTGGTGAATAAAGCAAAATGTACTTGGAACTCATTTCTAAGCAGTAACTCCTTTAAGTTTGTACACTTTAATTCTTTTTCTTCTTGCACAGTGTGACAGTGAATGAGGCTGTGCGTGTGTAAAGGAACTTGTCTTAGCAATGATCTCTTTCAGAGACCATGTATGGGTAAAGCAGTTCGGCTGGTTCAGCTCCTGCTCCTCCCTCTCACAGAGCTGAGCAGAATCTCTTCTGCTGAAACGGTTGCACCACTTTCTGCTTTCTATATTTGTCCAGCAGCAGCACACTGGAAACTAGGCAGTGTGGCTGGCCTGGTGGGCATTTGCTGAGCAGAATTGAGAGCCAGGGCTTACAGTCTCTGTTACATCCGTCTGTCTGTCTGTCTGCGTCTCTGGGGAGGACTGGAGTTCCAAGTGAAAGGTGATCTGTTTGTGGATGTTGTGTTTTTTGTAAAATTCAGTTCATTCAAATTTGGGAGTCTAGGGACAGAGAGCAGAGGAGGGAAGGCAGTTGACTTGCAGGGACAGTATGTATATAGTGAGTGGCAGTGGCATCAGAAAGATACAGACAGATTTAACCTCCAAAAGAGCTGCTGTCTTCTGGGATGAGGATTTTAATCTCCCTTCCTGCTTTGGGGTGTGATTAACCAGGGCCTGTATCTTTCCATAAAAGGTCTGTTGTCATTGTCTGCCTTGAAGATTAATGAAAGCTAGATCCTGTCCTGGAAGATCTGAGTGGTGTCTTTGCTTGTTATGGGCAATGGGGATTAATGAGGAGCTAGAGCCTGACCTGCCTAGTTGGGAATCAGGAGTTGGTATTGAGGTTTGGGGTTTGTGGGAAATGCCTTGTTAGGAAGAAGTGGAAACTTGTAGCTAAGACTTACTTGACTGTGTGCTTGTGTAAACTTTGTATCGAGGCTCTGCACATATCGGGAAGGTAGCTGTTCACAGTTGCTTTTTCAAGTAGTAGATCAGGTGAACAAATAGTGCAGAAAGTCTGTTAGCTGCTGTCACTGTAGTAAACTATTGATACAATGTTCTTTGAGTAGTAGAAAGGTGTTCAAAATTGTGGCAGCATCTGGATACACCATTAACATTGGCAATAATTTTTTTGAGAGGGAGGAAGAGAGAAAGAGAGAAATAGTTTTTTGGGAATACTGTCCACTTACAGATTCTCCTGCCTTTTGAATATCTGTGCAAATGAGCATCAGGCCTTTTGGTTGTGGTATTTGAGCGAGGAAAACATTGTTTGAGTGGTGAAATAGAAGGCAGCATCTTGCTAAAATCATTCTTGAGGATCATGTTCCCTAAACTCAGTCTGAATTATTTTTCTTTCCGGCCAGTGCAATGTCTTCAGTGTATTTCCTCCTGAGAAAGCTGTGTGTCTTGAATTTGGAAGAAGCAAATTTTAGTGGAAAATTGGTGGCTCTCAGCTGCCTGGCAATATCTGAATTGCACTGATGTCTGCAGGCAGGGACCTGTGACAGAGAGTCATCTTCCTGAACTGCTTGAACTCAAGCAACTTTGTTGTGTGGCTGTTTTCTGATCATTCTTTCTTTAATGGGGACACACTGCAATAATTTTTCTATGTTCATCTGGAAAACCTATGAATATGCAGCTTCTGGGATGTTAAGCTTGTTGCCTTAAGTGTTTTGATATTTTTCCTAATTCTGGCGTCCTCTGCCAGAATTCAGCCCGCTGCCTGCTTTTCTTCCCACTTTTCCACTTCCGGACTCCTTAGTTGATGTCTTTTCATTTATATGAGTTACCAGTGAAAGGTAATTCTTGGTACTGTTTGATGCCAGTGGTTGGGGTTTTGTGATTCCTCTACTTTCAAGTGTTTTTCAAAAGCATATTTGTCTTTTTTTTTTTTTTTCTGTAGTCTTGTAGCGAGAATATGATTAGGCAGTTACAAAGGCCTCTTGGAAGTACACTATTGCATGTTTAAAAAATACTGTGTCCATTCTGTGAAAGATGTCATGATAAATGGGTAGAACACTGAATAAACATATGTACACTTAGGGCATTGAGTAGATGAAAGGCTATAGAACAGCACTGGGAATTTAAATCTTACTATTTTGTAAGAATCTTCCTAAAGGCAATATATAAGAAAGTGACATTGTTCAGAGCTAAGATAAGCTGTCAAGACATGAAATCTTATTTGCCAAATATACTTTTAGTTTAGATAATCCATTCTAGATTGGCTATGTTACCCTGTTTGCAGAAAAGATTTAATCAGGATTGGAGACGAATGAAAAGTTAACTTCTGGTGTCCTTTGAAGGTACTGAAATTCCACAAGTAGGGTAATTTTTTTATTTTCTTCTTACCCTATTTTATTTTTTACAAAAATAATTCTGTTTCTTTAATGTCATAATCATGCAGTTGAATAAGAAAGTTAGGTTAAGGTTGGAAATGTGGGAAGATTATTGGAATTTGGAATTAAGTCCAGTGTTCATTTGAAATTAATGAAGTAAACTGCTGTTAGAAAGCAATTACAGATATTAAACTCCAGGAAGAATAAATGAAAGTTAAAAATATTTACTTGTGAATTTAAAAAGCTGAATCATAATTTAATCAAGGATAGTCAGTGCCATGTCTTTAAACATCGGATGCAGTCCACTGACAAAGAATTAGGGCAGTAAAGGTGTAATAGTTAATAAAAGCAAAGGTGGATAATTTGCTAATCAAATTATATTTGTAATGTTAGTGGTTAGTTTGAATTGCAAGTATCAAGCCAAATGTTGTGTCTGTAATAGGTAATAAGGAGCAATAGGTATAATTTGCTATGAATTTGTATGTTATGTCTTGTCATTTTATAAGTGTTTGTTCTGAGCAGACTTATAGGGAAGCAGAATAGAATGAAACAGCAAAGAACCAAAGGAAAGGACTTACCCCATCTGGAAATTTCCAGATGGCAGACACTAAGGACTATGGTCTAACCAAAACATTGGTCTAACCAAAACATTGGCTGAGCTCAGGTGGCGAGATGGAGCCCGTGAAAGCAAGGACCAATATCAGGGGAGCCCGCGAAAGGAAACCCAATAAAGAAATCGAAAGAGACTTAAGGGGTGGAGATAGAGGGGGGTATAAAAAGTGGGGTGTGGGCTTGCCTTGGGGCAGACCGTTGGTGGAACAGGAGTTTCCCGGTCTCCCAGCGTGCTGTTTTGCTTATTTGCTTTTAATAAATTTCTACTCTATTTTAAAAATATATCTGGTCTTTTGACTATAACAAAGGTGATTATATGGAAGAGCATGTATGTGCTTCTTAGAAGTATAGTGGTTTTTTCACAGAAGCAGTGGAAGCCTTCTTTGTCACTTGAGGCCTTTAGAAAGAATTAATCAGTAGAGATTAATGATGTGAAATTCAGCACCTAAATCTGATTATCTAGTTCCATGAGTCATTTAAATGAGCATCTGCCAGTATTGCTCTGAAAGTCTCGTGCCATCTTTGTGTTTTTCATTTCCTTTGTGCCACCAAGAGTATCTGTGTGGTTGTGCAGTGAATTGAATCTGGGAACATACTTGGATTAAAACTATTATACTTCTGTTGTCGGTAGCCTTAATCACACCTTGCCCATTTTCTTTCTCAGGCTTGTTGTACAGAGGTGGGGATGGATAGCTGGTGAGGAAAAAGTTGTGCACTATTCTTTTGACAAGAGCATCAGCTTAAACTGCATCTACAGTCAGAGTATCTTGATCTATTTGTATTTCCTCCTCCCTTCAATAAATGTTTCTGGAGAGCTGTACCCAGTCCTCTCAGTAATATAACCCCAAAAAATTAAGTAAGAATTGTTTGCATGTGTTACCTGCTGTGGCATATGTAATTTTGTTCTCTACAGGGAAGTACTAAATGTTGTCTTAACACACTTCTTTATGAAGGCAGTATTTTATACACGCTGTGTTTGATGCTGCTGTACAGAGAAGCTTGCTGTTTGTTTGGGAAGAAATCAGTGAGCTTTTCTGATGTGAGGACACTGAGAAAATAATGTGCCACATAAACTCTCCCTGAATCAAAACCTTACATGTGACAGTCTAAGGTACCTCCAGAATCTAGGTGCAAGGTATAGAAACCATGAGAATCCAGCAAGATATGTGAGGATTTTATGTCTATCTTGACTCTTCATGCAACCAAAACTGTATTTATAGCACTTGTTTTTGCCATAAAGTTTCTGGAGTCTCCTTCTGCTAGCAGTGGAAACCAGCTGATGTTATACTGTGCCTTCCAGGAAAAGTGAATGGAAAGAATTGATGGATAAGTGTGTAAGTGAAGAACATCTGAAAATACGTGCGTAAGACTTCAAGGAAGTACTGACTCTCTGGTTCTTGGCAAAGTGCATTGACACTCTTGATCCTTCTCCCCCCAGTCTAAGATCAGGTTGCGGATCCAGCAGGGAGGATTTCTGAGGCCTTGGGAAGAGAAAGGAGCAAGTGAAGCTTTGCTGGCAGGATCAGTCACCAGAGGGAAGCAGCCTGGAGAGGGTGTTTCAGGGTCACAGAATGGGCCATGAGTAGTTCGTGGATTAAAAGGCTGCTGATACCAGTAGGAAAAACTTTCTATTAGCGGTTCATAACTAAGAATGAAAGCTTCTTCAGACAGGGAAAAGTTAACCTAAAGTGTGACATCACATTTGTGAATGGTAGTCAGACAAAAATTATGCTTCAAGGTGCTGCATGTGTTTATGCATTCATGTGTTTTCAGGAGATTGTAAATTAATGCAAATTTTTTTTCCTGTATTATGTACAGTTGTTTGTGTGCTTTAGATACTATATAAAGATATTGAAGAGGGTAGTAAATGTTGCAAAAAAAGAAATTGAATATGTACAAATGATGCTACAAATGATGACAAATTGGAAACCTTCAGAGCTGGAGTAGAAACTTAGTAAGAACTGCTTTACAGTGAATGGTTAGATTTTATTAAATTTTTGAATAAAAGTCAGGACATTCCTAAGTTGATGTTCCCACAGCAATGGCAGCATTTGCCTCTGAAGAAAAAGAAATAGCATGAAACACTTTTTAAAGCTTCAGCTCTACACACCAGTATTAAATCTCTTTAAATGCTAATGAAAATTATCTGCTGTTGAAAGTGATTTGAATCAGTATTCATTTGTTATAATAGAGCAGTGACTTCAATTCTTTGCAAATGTAAATGAGTGTAATTAGAGACTTGTATCCATTTACTTCTGCAAAGGGTTTGACCGTGTACCTGTTTCAAAATGAAGATAAAAATAATTGAGCATATTTTTACTCTTTGGTTTGCAGGCGTGGCAATGGCAGATTCTGCACGGTAGAGTTCATGGCAAGTATTTGTCTAATATAAGCCAAGCAAGACGCACATACAAGCTTAAGGTAAATCAGTCTTTCTTAGTTGTGCTTCTTTGAAATAAAATATAAATGATTATACTTAAACATTTTGGAAATACGGAATTTCAGGCCTACTCAGAAGTTTGCATCCTGATGAATTCTGATCTTTCAGAACTGGGACACCTCAAAGTTGTTTTCTTCTGAAGTTGGCAGTAGATGCTGGAAATGGCCATGAGCGCTGTGTCCTCATTTAGTATTTCAGGTGTGATAATACAGAGTAGTGATTGCATTTGAGGATCTTTTTTCTCTGCATTTGTGCAATCAGAAGAAAGGTATGTAAGTACCTTGAATTTTTAACACAGAGCTATGCGCACTGTGTCTGTCTAAACATTGCACAGGGGTGATTTTCCCATTAAAACTTTTTTGCTTTACCTTTAATGATAAATAAGTGAAAGTGTTAGTATTTGAGTCTTGTGGCTGAGATGGATGAGGTTGCTGAAGTTCAGCTCAAGTTCAGTTGCTTCTAGGAGTAGGTTTAGTGGTTAAACTGAAAATATTGTTTCTGTTCATGAAACCTCAATCTTTTACTCAAAAGAATATATAAAGCTCTGTTACATTTGATAGATCTTCCTATCAAATGTGTGATGTGTATAATATCCATAAAGCACAACATGAATGCACGTTTTCTAAATATTTTGAATCTTCATTCAAAAAGTAAATGAAATGTTGCTTTTGTTTTGTATTTGTAACTTATATTTTGAGAGTCCCTTAATGCCTTAATCTGGATGAAGATAGCAAGCTTAAATCTTCTGATGGTGAAATTCTTTGGGTTTTATTAACAAACACATTTTTGTGGACATTATTTTGCGAAGTTGTTTACTAGGTTTTCAACTGAGATGCAGCTGTAACAGCGTGATGATATTCTCTTATTCAATACATTCTGTCACTAGTTCTCAAAATACCTTTTCACAAAAAAAAAACACAACATACAAATGGAAACTCTTAGTCACCAAAAAGTGACTTGTCGAATGCTGTTTAATCCATAGTTAATAACAGAATTGATATCTTCTAAGTCCTAGTTTCATGTTTTCAACAGTAGATCATAGGATTGTTTTGCATTCTTAAAGAGTGTCTCTTGACACTTTCATTATGGGTTGTAAGGTTTAATGATTGGTCTTGGGAATGTTTGGGCTGTAATTGCTGATTGGGCATGGAACAGACATTACAAATATGGTCAACATGCCAAATCTTAAGTACTTTATAATGTCCTGGTTAGAGGAACTTGAAGCATTTTAAATGTTTTCCTGTCTTTTCTTTTTGTCTTAATCTGCAGCGGTCCCAAAATGTGCACCTCTTCTATTCTTCATTCTGTTCTTACTATACCTTAAATTTAAAAAACTTACATTGTTGTAGTGGAACACACCGTTGTGAGTAATTCAGCTGGTCTACTTGCTAACTGTACAGATTGCTTGCTAACCTGTATGCCCAGTAGTATTTGTGCTGGCAGCTCTGGGGAAAACAGTACTCAACAGCTCTGTCTGCAAAAATGAAGTGAGCAGCGCAGTTCCTGGGAGCTGTGGCCTCACAATGAGCATGTAGCTCCTGGTGCTGTGAGGTTTGGGTGGTGTAAAGATTGCAGTAAAAGGGCGTTTCTCAGATAAGAAAGTAGGACTGCTTCCATGGTGAGGTTTTTATACTGCAGGAGTTTCTCCTCACTATCTCTGTTGCCGTGCTTCCTTGTAAGTAAGGGTTACTAGAAAGTGACACACTTTCTGTGGGTTGTGGCTTAAGCTGTATAGTAATTGAAACTTAATGATTTGTATAGGCCTCTCTGTTCATACTCTGTGTGGTGCCCTTGCTCCGTCACTCTGTAATGCATTGTTATGTCCCTCCTTTACTTCCTCCAAAAAATAGTTGTTTTTATATTTTCAAATTTTTGTTATTGGTCATTTTGGTACTTAAAAATACGTAAATCTGCAGTGAGTCCAGACTGAATGCTGATTTATGTGAGACCATTGATGCCAGGATGTGTCTGAGGTTGAGCTGCATGGTCTATCTGTTAGCCTCTTTAATTGCCAATGGTAACCTCGACATCCCATAAACGTTGGTTCCTGGAAAGTGTAATGAGAAATCAGAACTAACTAGTCTAGACAAGTGGTGACTGTGACAGTAATGTCATTGATCAGAATCCATTCAATGATTTGGTATTCTCTTAGATGGTCCTGGATGCTGGTGAGACTGAAGTTTTACCATGTAGTATCAAAGCAGCATCACTAGATTTATTGGGCTCACATCCACTGTCTAGTACGTAGTGGCTAGAGCCACTTGTTTTCATTACCAACTGTAATTCTGTTTATATTATATTGCATATCAGAAGTTTCAGCTGTTCATCAGTGAGAGTATATTTTGTCACTCTTCGATCTGGTAGGGCTAAGTGTTAAATCAAAGTGTTAAACCTTTGTTTTTCTACACGGAGTTGTCAGGTGGTATTGTGGTTCCTCCCGGCCTTGTGCAGTAGTTGAAAGTGACATCTGTACTGGATGCAGCACTTCAGTCGGGGGGCAGCTTCAGGAAAAATCTTTGCAAAAGCTGTGATGTCTCAATTTACGCCTGTTAAGTGTTTTGCTGACCCCACTAAGAGCCTACGCTCATGCAACTATGAAAACAGTTGGCTGTCAGCATCTGATGCTGGGCTGGGGAGAATATAATTTGCACAAGAGCTTTCTGCCATGTCAGTTAATTACAGCAATGGCTATGCTGCACTGATTGCACACATTGTATACCTTGATCTGGCATATCCAAGTCCCAGCTTCTTCTGAGAAGAAATACAATTGTCAGATTCTTTGGCCTTTGATTCAAGTTTGTCTGATGTGTAAACTTGGATAAATGATTCAGTGTATTTATGTTCTGCGTGCAATTAAATGAACCATTATAGAACAACTTATGATTTAAGAGCATTCTCCCAGGCTTTCTGCAGGTGGTTGTCAGATTTGCTGCTTGGTTTTTGAAGTTTTTATTGCCTTGGATTTTGCCTTTGATTCAATGAGGTGTATATTTTTTCCCAAAGGTGTCCAAGAGTTATGGGTTCCTCTGGCTATGTTAGCTGCACTTCTGGTTTCTTTGAAGTTTTAAATTTATTCATTAGAGTGAATTAATGGCTACATGTGTGAAGGGAATATTTTCTTTTTAACATAAAGTTGTTTATATAGATATTCTTAAGCATTTACAAGATCAAGAAATTGTATATTTCATTTTTTCCTGAAAGCTGATTATCAAAGGAGCAAAACTTAGCATATATGACAACTTTCACAGTGTTTAAATATCTGGCAAAAATTTGGTTTAAAAGAATCAAAAGGAAAAAACTGTTTTGAAGGCAGGTCTGTTAGCGGGAATCTGAGACCATTTTTTTGACCATAAACAAATATCTTGTAATTAAACTTCAAAAAAGCAAAGGAATGTGGGTGAGGTGGAAGGAGGTGTCCTCAGGTAGCATATTTGCCTGACTCACTAGTTGGAGCTTCATAATTCAGAATGCTGTTGTGAAACACAACAAAAATAAATATATAAAGTGTTCCCTGAACAATAGTCAGTTTTCAGTAATATTCTAGAAAACATAAATTCATAATCTTGAAAATGTGCATTTCAAATAACTGAGTTTTTTTTTGTCAGGATTCGTGATTGAATTTTATTGTTCTCAACAAGTATTATAAGAAAATTAATTTCGTTCTTGTGTTTAGGATTCTTTTTTTGCTTTAGAGGCTATAGTACTTTAATAAATCAATTGAACAAATAGAAAGTAATTAGAAAAATTGAAAATTATTACTAAATTATTGAAATTACTAAAAATTTAAAATTATTACTAAATAGCAATTTAAAATTTCCATTTATGCAGTCTTACATTAGAGTTCCCATCTACAGGTTCATGATCATCTGTTAGGGCTGCAGCTGTCAAAATAATGTAATACAGGAGTTTAGGATTGTGGGTACTGCTGTTGGTAACTGCCTCAAAAAGCCAGACAGGTAGGGTAGGTCCACTGAATGTTATTAGGGAGCTTTAAGACTTCTGTTTTCAGCCATGTTGCACTGCAGTCCTTTCTTTTGCCCCCTCTAATCTACTGTGTATTTTTGAAATCTACAACTTCAGGTTTGAGTCTAATGAGGGTAGTCAACACCTCATGATGACTTCTGCTTTAAGAAATATGCTTTACTTTCATGGTCCTCAGTGCTTTATAAGATGGAGTTCATGTTGTAGTGATTGTTGAAATCTGATTTTAACTCTGGAGTTCTCAATATCTGTTTTTTCCTTATCTTTTAGACTGAAGACTGGAACGGCTAGAGGGAGGTGCATAGCTGCAGGTATGAACCAACTACTGTTTGTATCCCTCATTTGTGTATTGGATCTTCCTTTCAAAGGTTTAGAGAGAAGTTGTTTTTACATTCAGTGATGAAAGCAGTCATTTTCCACTGCAGTGAGCAGTGCTCCCTGAACCTTAAACTCTGCAGTTTCCTGCCTTTGTATTGCTAAAGGGGGTTGGGAGTGTTAACAATTTAGTACTGTTAGTACCAAGTCAATAGGCATCTTTAACTCCATCTGTAATTTAATAACTTTAGAAACATAACTGCAAAGTAGAAATGCATGTCTTCTTAGCAATTTCTTGACCAGAGCAAATCTACAGTATTCTGTAGTGCATGAAACCCTAAAGGTGAGTATTACTGTAATAACTACTCTAGGCTGAGACAAATCTGATTATGTGCAGCGGAACAGGAGCTTAGTCTAGTGTGAAAATACTTGGAGCCAAATGCAAGGACCTTCTACTGCAATTTTCTTAATGCTGGAAGTTCAGTGAGGATGTAGTTTCACATGACAGCTGAGACAATTGCCCCTTAGTTTCTTTACACAGTTTCCAGGCCTGTGTCCTTTGGTTATGCTTGGTTCTCATGGTAGTTTGCCTGGTAGACAAAGTCAGCTTGACAACCCAGTAAACAGCTCTTCTGTGATCATGTTGTTATTTCCCCGGTTTAGGAAGTTGGAATGATTTACTGTGTGGTCAGAGAAGTATCAAAAGAACAGGTCAGACTGCTTTGAACTGTGTACCTTAAGAGTTTCAGTTCACTTCTGAGGACAATTGACCTGTAACTGCTGTGTTAAGTAACATTATTATGCTCAAAGTATGGTGACTTTTGCTGTTCTGGTGAATCATCTCTGCCATGACAGAAGGATTGTGTGCTTTGGTCTGGACAACCAGGGAGAGTTGAGCTTTTATATTGTCTTGAGGAAACGGTTGTATTCTACTATGGACAGACATTTGCTACAGCTTGCATAAATACACTGGAAGGGATTTAGTTATGTCTATATCAGAAAGAAAAAAAACAAATTTGTCTTTAAAGTGCAGGATATCCTGCCTCTCCATATGTTGCTCATCAGGGTAGAAAGATCTAAAGCTGATTTAAGAAATCCAGGAACACCTTCATTTTTTAGAGAATTGGTGATTGACCTCTATGTTTGGAAGTACCAGTTTGAGAGCAGTTGTCTCCAGGCACTGTGAGTGTTGCAGAACACTCAGCTTCTTTCTTACATGACTGGTGCCTTGTACTTTGCCCTTCCTGGTCCTTTGCAGCTCCATTAGGACCATACAGAAGATTGAAAAGAGAGAATACTGGTCCTTATGTTTGTGGATTTTGTCCGAAGAGTTTACATCTTTTGAGACAGACTAATCTGATTAGGCCTAGTTTTTCAAACTCATGGGATTCTGCCAATTGCAAAACAGAAGTCCAGAATCAATAGGTTTGGATTACTTAAATAACAAAATAATCAGATTATTTAAATAGCAAAGTAATCAACGGAGTTTCTGGTTGATGAAAACAAATGACTTCTATTTGTTGCAAGATCCATGATTTCCAGCAAAAAATGTGAATGTAGAAAGGTGTCCAAGTAAAAGAGGATGGAGTCTTGAACATCTGATAATGGTATATGAATTTGTTTGTATACATTTGTTTACATTTCAAACCTGATATGAAATGCCTCTTATGATTATTAACTCTACAGAGATGTATCAGAATAAAACTGATGGCATTCTGCTCCTGGTCTGGTACAGAGAAAACAATTGAGGACGGGTCAGCTTTGCTTTGAGATAAGGAATCAATCAGCCTTTGAAATTGCACTTGATTTTGTTCCCCAGTTATCTCATAGATGCTGGGGACAGACAAGTTTTTGAACAGAGAGTTTACTCAAAGATTTGGGATTTTTTCTTGTGTTTGGACACTTACATGCCATACTTTACCAAAGCAGATTAAACAGTTATTCTGTCAAATAATATTGCCCTACAAGTGCCTTATGAGCACTGACAGTTTCAAGACTGAGGAGCTCCTACCTTTGTATTGACTCTTGTCATATCCACATTTACCATGCTGATATTCTGCTGGAGGACCAAAAATACCTTTGTACTATAAATAGAGAGCACTGTAGGGTTCGTATTATTTTACTGTCCTGCCCCTCCTTGAGGGTCATCCTGTTGTTTTCCTGAAGGTAAGCTCTAATGAAAACTCCACTGAGACACATTTGTAAACATGCTGTGTAATGAAGGATAGCAACTTAACTGTTTTAACTTGAAACATGTCTGTGTTCAAATAAAATTTCTGCTGATCTCACCTCCTTCCAAAGTGGAAGTCTTTCACATGGAGACAAAATGGGCAGTAAAAGATTGCAGATTGTGAAATGATAGTCATAGAATCTTTAAGGTTGGAAAAGACTCTTAAGATCGTAGTACAACCATTAACGTAACAGTGCTAAGTCTGCCTCTAAACTTGTCTCTAAGCATCTACACATCTTTGCTTGCATTCTCAGGGATACATATCCCATTCCCATCTCCACTCTCCATGGACAATACTGGTGCTATGCCTTTGCAGCTTCGTGCCAAGAACCATGACTGTTACTGTTCCAAGGTGGTGCTCTACATCGTAATTGCATCGTATTGCAGCAATTACTGTTCTAACTGCATAGTGTGCTCTCTTGGAGAGCCCTTGTCTGGGTTACATTTGAACTTTCTTCTGGTAACGTGCAACAAAAAGCTGTACTTTGGATAAAATGAAATGAGAGAAATAGTGACATGTTGTAGTATAATATTAACTGTATCTGGTACTATTAGTAGAAACAATTTGGGATTAAAGGACTCCTCAAAATGGCTTGTGTGGCTGTTCTAAAGGCTGTAAAGGACAATGAAACGTGTTGCTTTTAGTCCAGAAGGTCTCTTGAAACTTAACAGAAGAAGAAAAAAGACTGTATCAGAAAAAATTTTAAACAGGTCTGACTGCCATTCTAACACATTTCAGTTAGGAGAGTAATAATATGAAGTTTGTTCCTTTAAGATAACATATTACATGTCTTAAGGAAAAAAGGTAACTCTGGCCAATTCTTACTTTAAGGTTTTTACTTTACATGTGCATGAGATGTGTTGCTTGCAAAAAACTTGAAGGCATTTTTGATTCACTGAGGTTCTCCTGTAGGTTAATATAGCAATCTTTGTACATGGTGTTATCCTGGAATTGTTTAGCAGGTTCTGTAGTCTCCCTTGCGTCTGATATGCAACCACACAGCAATTCTCTGTGTAAATGTAGTTGCTTTGCCCATTGTAATGGCTTATGACATGTTTGACCTGAAGGCAAGCAGACTGTTCAGAGCTTTCCAGGACCTATTGGATTTCCAGCTCGTTACCAGAGGAATAACTTCTGTCTCTCTTTCAGTGGCAAAAAACTACTTTAAAATGCGTAGTTGAGTCCTTAAAAATCTGGTAAATATCACAGAGATGGCAAAATGTTTGTTTCCTATGCATCTTTATGACTAAGTGCAGAGCTGCAGATTCCTATAATACAAGAAAGGACAGCAAAATACAGTCTTATCTGAAACCAGATTTCTACGTCTTGTGTTTGTATTTACAAAGTAAAAAGGTTCAAAGATAATAAGTTTTCTATTCCATAGAATTGCTTGTGGGATTGTTTCTTGTACAAAAAGATAAAATAGCTAGGTAAACTTCTGGCCAGTTTTAGAAAAGGTCATTTCTGTAAGCTGAGAGGCAACATCTGGGGAGAGAAAGAGGACGAAGACACTGTAAATGGCATCTGTACCTAACCTTCAGGGCAAGATTGCTTCCAAACGATGTTCTTACTCTTTTCTACTGAAGATTTAAGCCTCGTAGTACAAGTGTGATTTGCCATTTCTATTTCTGTGTGTCTCGGAGTCTGAATTCAGGCAATCAATAGAGTGCAAGGGGAAAACTCTCAAATCTTGCTGCTGCCTTAAATGTTCCATCCTGTTGCCTTTTAGTATTTCCCTGTCCTTCCACAGGGTAGGAATGCATGTCCTCACTTCTTATACTCATTTCCTGCCTTGTCTCCTGTTCTGTGTCATACAGCTGCCTTTATTTCCTCTTACTATTGTTGTGACAAGCCACTTTTCTTACTTTCTCAAGAAGTTTTTTCTATCTACAGTGCCAAAGTGTCTACACATCTTTTAGGTCACTTAGGTACTTAAGGTATAGCTTGTCTCTTGCAAAATACAAACATTATTATGTTCTAGCACTGTGATTATAAAAACTCAGAATGCTTCTCAAACTATGTCTGGTGGAATGTTGGCATATGTTTAAAAAACCTCATAATTTTAGACTGAAATTTTCTTTGCATACCTTCCTGTAAAGCTTAAACAGTACCTGAAATTAGACGTTTCGCATCTATTCACCAAAAAAAAAAAAAAAAAAGAGGCAATCTACAACCTATAGGTAAGGAAAAAGGATTTAATTTTTTTACTTGTGTTTGTTATTGTTGTTTTTAATATACTACAATGAGGGGAAGAACCCTATACACATCTGCTTTAAAAGCAAGTGCCCTGGATACATCAATGCTTCTTCCTAATATCAATTATTAATTGTAAAATGTCTTGCAAAGAGGGCTAAACATGCAGTGTTTACTCCTTATCTGTGATTTGCCAAAATTAATTATTCTAGGGAACCTGCATTAAAGTTTGTTGTTATCTGTTCTGCTGGTAGAGATGCTCTAAGAGGTTGTCTGGCATTAATTGCTCCCAATTCAAGATTTAGTCTTTTGGCAATTTTTTTGTCTGCTTCCTTGATTCATGTCTAATAACTTTCATACAGTGTCATCTCAGTCCAACCTTTGGTGTTTTCTTTGCATCACAGTAAATCTTACTGTGTCTCTGTGTTTTCAGTTCACCTTCTCCGTTCCCTTAGTCAGAAAAAGTCAGGGAAATATGCAAGATAAAGAAACAAAATTTATCTGGGAAAACCAGAAATTTATTATAAATTTCAAATCACTGTTTTGAAGGTCATAATTAGGAACTTTAATTA